TTTTCAGCTTTTGTGTTATCAGCCAGCTTCCTACTTTGCTATTTATTTTCGTTTAGCGAAACCCTACTATAAATCTTCACTTATAGGAAGCCCTTATTATATAGATAATGTCAGTTTTTCGTTTCTAAGAATCGGAAGCTGTTATCATCTTATATGTTTGGTTAATTCCTGCTTGATTGGAAAAATAAGGATTTGTTTTTATTTATTTTTTTCAAAATCATTGAATATTGAGATATTGTTTTTATAAGACGCGTTAGTTCTTGGTAATGTTTTTATATAGTCTGTGATCTGTTGCATGCGTTCTGTGACCGTTTGTCGGTCAATAAAATTGTTAGCATGTACGTTAGTAGTTGAACAGGTTTATGAACATTAAATGAATAGTTTATGGTTGTGATTTGTTTAGATTCTTACGTTGAATTAACTTTATTAGGATTTGTCACCTTAAAAAAATAACTTTTTAAGGGTCCCTCGATTGTTTGTCTGTCTGCTCCGTTTGCCATAGCTGATTTTCTTATAAACTCAGTAGTTGATTGACCCAATGATCAATTGCGTAGAAATTTGGTACAGATATTTATATGAAACGGTTATCTACCTAAAGGCGACCGTGTAACCCTAGTAATGTAAACCGTTTAAAATTCCATGTTTTTGTTTTATATTTTTTACATATCTAATGAAAAGGTTCATTGTATGAATTTTAAATTGTGTATAAAATAAATAGTTTTGAAGTTATTCAAGAATTTTGTTGGAAATTGGCTATTCACTATCTGATTACATGGCCTAAAATTTAAAATGTTTCTCCAGATTTCCCAGTAGTTCCATTATATGTGGTTGTATTGGGATTTTTTCTCCCTGTTGTTCTGCCTGTTTATTTGCAGGTGTTATTTATGTAAAAAATTCTTCTGGATGCACTTATTGACTTTCTATTATTTTTAATTTTTCCATGACGATTCCCCGGTATCCCCTAAAATACGGTATTGTTGCTTCTTCAATCACGAGTTTCATTAGCGAATTGAGTACAAGGATGTTCTTCACAATAAAATTAGTCTTATGACAGGACTTACTTTTTCTTGTATTTACTTTGAATGTACTTTATAATATATAGAATATTGTTTATTGTACACACAAAATAAAATAAATTGCGTCGTTATATAAAATTTTCGGTAGATAGTTTGTATAAACTAATTATAATATTAAAAATGTATTTAGACAGCCGTGCCATGTCTCAAATTGGTTGTTGATTGTCTTTCCGAAAGCACACGTTTAATTAATTCAGTCAATCATTCAACCAGAATTACTCCATGAATAGATAAAACATATTTAATTTTATTTATCTTTAAGTCTTACCAGGCGTTATTTTTGTTTAATGGAACTAATGAGCTTAAAGGAAATGTATTCTAGTTCTATGGAACAACTGGCAGAAAAAAAAGTAAAAAAGGGATCAAGCGGAGTTTTTTTCTTTTCATAATATCGTACGGACTGCTGACAAATTACATTATTAATTATAATTAAAAAAATAATACTTACTTACACACAGTTAATATAATAAATCCTACTAACTAATATCGTAGATGCGAAAGTTTCGGAGGATGGATTTTTGTTCCTCTTTTACGCAAAAACTACTGAACGATTTTCTAAGCCTGAATTAAGATATAGTCTTATTTTTGTCCCACTAAACGTTTCCCTAGGCATAAATATACTGTCAAGTTATCGTGTAAACTACGCAGGCGAAGTCGCTAGCTAGAAAATTGTTATGATTAACAAAGATACTGAATTTAAATGTTTTTAAATCCTTGTTGAGTTATCTTATTGCCTTTATTACCAACGATTATGTTATCGCCCTTTTAACCGTCGTGTAGAGGTTTCCATTATACGAGTATTATATACTTACATATTTTCAAAAACCCTTTGGTAATGTTTAACGAACGGTCATTATAAAATTTAGCATATCGAACACGTTTCTAAAGGGCACCCGTACTTTAACAAATTTATATTTTATTAAATAAAAATTAATGTACTTATTTTATTATAGACTCGCTTTATATTTTGATTAATATCGACATTATTATACCTTTTTATTTACCATTTATTTGCTTACTGATTTCTCATATTTTCACGTCCATTATAAATAAAACTACTTTGCACGGTTTCAGCGCGTTTAAGTTTGCTTTCATGACGTTTCGGACCCTTTATAAGTTCCGTTTTCACTTAAGCCTAAGGTTTAGATTGTCCTTTTTTTTTTATTAAGAGTATAGCTACCTTCAAAACAATACTATTGGATTCATTTACAATACAAAAAATAATAATTTTATGGTAACCTACACATAAATTAAATAAAATTATTTAAAAATTTACATTTGACTTATTGAATTTATTACTCTTGGCTACCGTAAAGTACCACCAGTTCCAAATTTAGAAGTCTTGTCTGAGAAGAACTGGCGAAACAAAACAAGTAAAGTAATTGCTCCCTTTAATAAAATATTTACAGAAGGAAGTAACTGTATCTTTTAGTTTTACAGTTTGTGAAGCATCATCAAAAACAAATTTTTATAACAAATAGGTTTTTTAACCGATCAGGTATTACAATTCTATTTTAACAAAATGCCTGATTATAGGTTCAAATTTTAGCCATACTGCAATACAGGCGAAAAGTGAAATTTAGTAAATCCTGACCTAAATGAATACATAAGAATAATTATCTGACGTCAATATCAGCCTTTTCTAACTCTACGTATTGAGAAATCTACTGTATCTGTGTCGATGACTGCGGTGTGAAAGTGTCCTTTGTTAAATGTATGAAATTATCCTTCCCACTTTGTTGAATTCGATATTGGCAAAGAAAATGTATTATTGGGTCGGTCGGTGTCGTTATGGGCCGACCGCCCGTCGACGAACGTGCGGCGTTATATTGAGGGCGCACTTTTATCGTTTCAAAGGCTATGTTTTAAATTCTCTCACTAATGCGAGGTAAGCTAGTCTCATTCTACTTGGTACTAAGAGGTAGGCTTTGAGACCGGTTTGCAAGGGAACTATTGTTTCTTCTCAATGGAAGCTAATACTGTTGTACTATTCATATTCATAATACTGTTGACTAGACCAAATTAAAAAAGATTTGCGTATGTTTTAACTTTATTTCATAGTTTTATTTAATTAGATCTATACATAGTATAAACAAAAAACAAAGTCCCTTGTCGCTGTCTGTACACTGAGATTTTATATACTACATAACGGATGTTAATATGGTTTTCATCAATATTTAGAGTGTTTCAAGAGGAAAGTTTAATGTATAATACAGGCCCACGCGAGCGAAACCGCTGGCGGAAACTAGTAAACTATAATTTATAGAGATCCTTCAAAACCCTTGTAATCATGATTAGATTCCGCGCTTTAAAAGATTGCGCGCGCGACAAACTTGCTTTTTAACAAACGTAGCAACAAACTTTGTTAGTTTTTAAAAGTATTTTAAATAGATTACATCACATCGGTTATTTCTTTAATCGAGAATCTTCTCTACATATTTGCTTAACATGGAATGACTATATTTTTTATGAATCTTCTTCTATAATGATGTCATAACGCGGACGTAATTTTAGTAACACCTTTTATGTCAATACGAAATTTAAGTATGTTTTTATTCTAATTTCATATTTGGACATTCATTTTGAAATATACGTTTAATAATTTCATACCTAATATACATTTTAGTCTTAGATTCAATAAGATATCATAAGATTTTGTTGACACAAATATTCAGTAAAAAAAAATATGAGATAATATGTAATCTTTGATTAGTATTCTTGGCTTATTAGCTTTGTATATACCATACAACCGAGAAAATTACCGGCCTGTCATCTTTCGGCGATGATCGCTTTCGTTATACACCTAATGTCATATAGCAATACTGATATTTATTTTATAATCATAGACATAGCGACGTCTCATGGGTATATTTGTAATCGTAAAATTATTGAATATTACATTTTAAATGATTTAACTTAGCCAATTATGCATTGACTAGCTAAACAACTTGCTTATTTAGATCTATGATATGTAGCAAACAGCTTACTTGATTTATATACTAAATAATTTAACTTTTGACTAAATCATAGAGTAATAAAGAAATTATATAAAATATTGCATACACTGTATCTATTATCTGTCTATGTCTATCTCTGACTTGGATTGTTATTTTTTTATATAATATCTTATCGAAATGTTTTTAATTTGCACAGGGTTTTTACCTGTATTTTTATCTATTATAGTTTTTGATAATTCATTTAATATCTAGGGGGAGAGCACACGTCCAAGCCCTTCTACAATATATGATATATGATACTAACCTCAGAGAACTAGGTCTTGTTCTTTTTTACAATTGAATACTTTTAATAGTTTCTAAAACAAATGCTTATTTATCTTAATCAAATACATTGATCACATTTACAATATTGAAAGAGTTGATCGTAATTATTTCTAAATTAATATTTAATTTAAAGAGGGACAATATTTTTTAATAATCTAATTTGTAGATTATAAATATTTTGTAAATAGGTACTTTTTATATGTTAGTCCGTAACTACCGTACTAACTTTTAACATTATAACGTTCGGTTTCGGTTTCGGTCGAGTTTCGGCAAATAAACGATCAAAACCGAAACTGCATTGTCGCGCTATAATTGATCATATTTGGCGCAGAAAATTTGGAACTAAAATGGCAAATAGTCGTTGGCACGTGTTGTACATATATTTTGGGTTGCTAGTTGTGTGTCATAGCTTTGTGATTTAAAGATAAGAAAATAAAGACTGACGAATTATGAAAACGTTTTCTTTAATTTTCCCTGAAAATATGATCTTCGTAAAGAAGTTTCGGTTTCGGCAGAAACTGAGACCATTGCCGAAATTCGGTTTCGGTTGGAAAAACCAGTTTCGGACACTACAAAATATATAATAATGCGTTTTTTTTTATAAATTCTCGCCAGTAATATTCACAGTATAAGCTCTTTACAGACGCAGACGAGAAACGGTGGTCACCAAAATGTACCACTATCAGCTCCGAGCGGTATTGGTGGTGGAGAGGTGAACGGTTCGCGGCCCACCTTCAAACCGGTCACTGTTCTAGAAGACCTGCAGGCTGTACGCTGCGCGGAGTTCCACCCCAATGGAAAACTGTACGCAGTCGGGTCCAACACGAAGACCCTTCGGATATGCACTTATCCGAAAATCGAAGATATCAAGTGAGTATTTATTTATCATGATATTTCTCGTGTACCTCTGTTTGAATAGCTCCTGTAGGTATATTTATATACATAGCGAGAGTTGCTTATCCGTTTTCCTTGCGCCTTCTCTTCTACAAATGGTAATTGTGAATAGATTTATATTATTTATTACAGTCAGTGATTTGATAGAGACTAGCTGATTTTATGTCGTGGAGTTCCAATAAACAAAATTTAAAAGAAGAAGTAAATAAATATTTTCTCATAAATTGATTGAAAATCTTGTTTAGACAAGAAAGTATAAAATACCTGTTTTTGCGTAATACCCAAAGACAGAAAACTTTCCTATTACAACACCGTGACATTTTTAAAAAGTCAATAATACATAACTGACTTAAAACTTAGCTTAGCTTAAAGTTTTTAATAAATATAAGATATTTACAGACCTTTGCTTCACAAGTAGATCGAGCCTATTTAACATCACTTTCTTAGTACTCAATTAATTTAACCTTAAAACATACTATAATATATTTGCACTTACATATACAAGTTATAACTAAGTCATAATGTGGTCTTTATATGGTAATAACATTGAACGCGTTGTCTGTATTCAATTCGCAAATGTGAACAACCTCACGTATTGCTCCACTACCGTCTACGTCATATGTCACTTCTTTGATACGTATGAGAATGTTGTTGATAACATATTTTTATGCATGATATCCATCCCTGATAGAATCAGCACATGTAGTACAAAAAGGTACAATTGATGTTTTGCTAGGTTCGTGGTATTTCATTTTTTTCCATTCTATAAATCAGTACACAATCAATGAATACACTTTGCACTAAAAGCAAACACATAAATAAAAAAAAAGATAAACATACATGTAAAAGGCGGTCTTATTGCTAAGGTAGCAATTTCTACCAGACAAACCTTTGGCTAATAGAAACTATACCTACAAATAACTTAAAGGAGAAGAAACAAACTACCTAATGAATAGTCCAGCTTGAGGAACGAAATTAGGTACCTTGTTTTAAAAGTATTATTAAAGGCAAACGCATTTTGAAACTTTTAAATTTCCCTAGTATCGTCCAAGTATCTGCAATATCATATCACACGGCGATTATATGTTTATAGTGTAATTTAATAAAGTATACGAAACTTTGTAATAATAATAAGTTATGATTGCCTCTGCGAGACGGTCACAGTGTTGACCTCGGCGCACTGTCGACCCTGGTGGTACTTCGCGCCCGTCGCCTTTTAATATTATTACCCAATTCATAACCAATTATGTGAAAAATTGTCTCAGAAATGTTATTTATAAGTAGCGTTACTGTAACTAAAGGATAATAAGGAACTTTCAATACTGAGTGAAGTAATAAATAAAGCTCGAAATGAAGATCTCTTTACTCGAATAAAAACAACATATCATAGATATAAATACTTATTTTGTAAAGAAACCGAATTGAACTACGTTTTTTCGCTGAGGAATTGACAATTATGTATATGACTACGATATGTACATGTTTACTTATATCCAGAAATAATATTTCTGATGAATGAAATCCATCTAACTTTTGTCAACGTACAAGGAACAAGTCACTATGGTTTTCGTAATTGAAATTATATAACAGGAATATTAAATAAAATAACAGAATGCAAAAAAATAAGAATATCTTTCTAATGTAAAAAATCTGAAAGTATTTGATCAATTTTGAATTCCGGATTGGGAAAGGTCGTTGTTTCGAGTGGCTCTTAGAATGCGAGGTACAAAGTGGATCTTTTAAGAATTTTTAATTAAGCATTATTATGCTTCTCAGGTTACTCAGTAACACTCTAAATGACATCTCAAATTGACAAAAAGTATTTCCTGGACTCTGTTTATCTTACTAAAAAGTTCTGTCTGATCTTTATATCTCCCCGAAAATAATGCTGCCGAAGAAGCGACCATTAAAAAAAACTACTAACTGCTTACCGTAGTTAATATTTTTTCAGATTAGTCATAAACAGAAACTGTTTATTCATCAAATGAGGTGTTTTTTCTCGTGGAGAATGTATATAATGATACTGTAATCATAGTCATATCTGTGAATGACTCATTAGTTGCCTTAGGTAATTCAATAATTTTGATCTTGTTGTATTCGATACATTGACTCGATATTATATAATGTTTATAGAGAGTTAAGCTGAAAGCAGCATCGATCAAGATTCGCATTTGGCTGAATTATATTCACGCTGAAATCAATCAATCAACGTTGATTTTAGTTTTATCTAGCGGTATTGAGTATTTGTATAATCGCGCGCGCTGATCTATTCCGTCAAAGTCTATCTTCTTAATTGATACACACGATGTAATATCAGAATTGAATATTAAATTTAATAACAAAGGATTTAAGGATATTCAAAAACGTTAACGTATAAGGCTCCTCATTCATAACAAAACATGAGAACGGATGATTAAGCGAGCGAATTTACATTAAGTTGAGCTAATCGCAAATCTGTTAGGATCAGCTAATGTAATGTTTGATTTCGGGACGAAGTAAATGGGAGAGGGAAAACAATGCGCTCACCAGTTATCATAAATAAAGCGATAAACACTTCTTTTGAAAAATGGAATTATAAAACAAAATTTTACATGTTTTCGAAACGCTATTACGACACTACCGAAGCAATTTTTTCATTTTTTATTTACTAAGACATTACAACTGGATAATTAAATATGAGAAAGAATGTCTTGTTCTTATCTCACTATAATAGAAATCGAATTAATCTGTTTGCCGTAGAAAGTTAGCAGACGTGAGCGTACTGTAAACAAATCAGTTAAACAGTTTACCATTCTTAACAGTGACGGAAGTATTGCCAAAGCTATGACTAATCACGTTATTGGGGCATTGACCCGCAAAGATTGCAATTCAATTACAAATTTGGGAGCTTTAATTATACTACAGTGTTTAAACTTAAAACTTTTAAAACGTATTTAAAGGGTAAATTTGTCTCTGTAAAAATTACTGAAATTTTGGGTCAGAGTTGAGTCTCTGCGGTTAATCTTATTTTAATTCATTTTGCTGAATCGCTTTTGCGAAATAATATTGAATCCTTATTTTAAACATTTTGTTCCTTATATTGAAGGTGCCTAATCTTTGTTTCAGAAAATAATACCTGTCTAGTTAGTTATTGTAGGAAAATTATTTTCACATAGGTGCGTAGTGGTGCGTGGTGGCCGAGGCCTCTTTCCTGTGGTTTCATCCAGCAGACGTGTTCGTTCGATGGTCCCCGGAGGTCAATCTAATAAAACCCTTTAGGTAGTACAAGAGCTAGTGACAAAAAATTGAGTTTTGTAACGATTGATAAATTAAGTATTTGAAAGTACTAATCAATACACAGTGTAGAGGCTAAGTGCTGGAATACCTGGTGGCGGCGGCACAATGTGAAGTACGTGTAATACTAGTATGCTACTTTCAACAGCTAGTATTGAACAAAGAAATCAACCTCCAAATAAATTCTAATAGAAAATAAGAAAACTACATCATATTTATAAGGATAAAAAACATACAAATTTAAGCCAACTCCATTTGTTTTATAAAAAAATGCAAGGAACTTATACTTCTTAATATATCAAAATTTGAATTAACTGCTTAGATACTATATGATCAGCAGGTCTTGGAAGTTGATGCGAAAGGAGTTTCGTAATGATTGAAAATTAACTAATTATTTAAGTAATTAATCTGTCCTACCGCTCAGACCAACTAAACTTTAATTTTATTTCCTTCACAAACTTAATCTATGAACATACATTAACAATAAACCAAATAGTGAAGTTTGTGAGAGGCTAATACCTAACAGAGGTTTTGATAAACCTGACCTATAGGTCACCAGGTCTCATCCTTTTCTTTATGTAGGTATCACAAGAAATGTCTATATAAAAATGTATGTTAACGTTACGATAGTTCTGAAGATTTTGTGTATTTGCAAGACATAATACATATTTCCAATACGTAGGTATTTGATATAACATTGGTCATCAATTTGCAGTAAAATCAATGAACATAAGTAAAAAAAAACATACATTAGCGTCGTCATCTAACCTCCTACAATTATAAAGTCGTTTAAAAAGTTGTACTGACGAGAAAGAAAAATAGTTGATCCGTTTGAAGTTGTATCGATGAGAACAAATTTAAATTTAAAGTTCCTATCGGATCTACCTAAATGTTGGTTCGTTGAGAGAGAAAAATAGTCTTATCTGTTGTTGTTGGTCAAAGTGAAAAGACGGTAATCAACTTGCTTTTTCACTTGCATTAACTTGCATTTTCACATTAACCAATCGTTAGAAGTTAAATTCATGTCCATGTTTTCCACAGCACCTGAAGTGAAATTTAAGATTGCTGATATCTCATAGCGATACTGAACTAACAACTGTTACAAAACTCATGCACACTTTTATCACGAGCTCTCCGTCTACTATAAGTTTAACGTCCCCTCCCTCTAAGAGGATAAGACCCTCAAAGTCGTGGCCGAATCGTTGAGAAACTCATGCTCTCAGAAAATAATATTTTTAACTGAAAATAGATTTACTCTTTTTGTATCTTCTTTAACACGTCCTTCGTGTCTAATTACATTTAGATCTTTTGTATTGTAATTGTATGCTTCCACATTAATATTTTATGATGATGTCATGCATCATGCTCTTCACTTGTGGTTTCAATTGCTCGAAATATAATAGAAATATGTAAAAATGTATCTGTACGTTATTTATGGCATTGATACATATTTGATGTGATTGCGTACATTCAAAGAAGGTATTTTAGTTACCAAACGAAAAAAAAAAACACCTAAGTTGACATATTTTTCATTGTAAAACTCGAGATACTCGTTGATACGAACTTATATGGTATATACGATATAGTAAATTAAAATTTAACAAGAACGAAAGGAAAATAAGATAATCTGATAAACAATCGACAGAACTCACCAACTGAGATGAAAGAGACAATGAACACCACTGATACTTGTCTCTGCCACTTGATATTTTCGTTATTGTAGTTAGTTTTCTGCAGACATTTTTGTTAATAATATATTTAAATTTGCCGAAATTTGCAGTTCAATATGATTATTAAATCAATCCGAATCTAGAATCCGAGAAAAAAGACGTGACGATTATAGTTTCTTCATACATAGTATTAAAGTGGCTTTACCAATATTTTTTTTGCAACGCGTCAAGACTATATACCGCCTAACAATATATATAGTCAATATTTTCATAGCTCCCATTTCGAAGCTTCACAAATTAGATAATCATAACAGGGCTAATGAATTTTCATATAATATAACTTTGCCTGATTTTGATACAAGATTAATGATGAGCTATATCCTCTGTAATTAGGTTTGAAAATCATCTTTTCGGAATATTAAATAATTTTTTAAGAAGTGCTGTAATTGTATTACAAAGGACTACTCATATAAATCTCATTATTCTTCCTCTTTAATATTAGTATGGATAGATTCTGGTAATACATACACGTTTTCTATTTGGACCAATAAGCAAACACGGTATGTAAACACGTAAGTTTGTATATAGTAGGAAAACGCCAAATGTAATAACTCGCGCGTTTGTGTATTCCTTTGCTTTAATTTGCATGTGAAATGGCTACTATGCGTACTGAATGGAAATAAGAGAGATGACAGAATAAATAACGAATAGACATACCTAAGGTATTTAAAATAGGGAGGTCCAGTAAGTTTTGTGACAAGTGTCGTCAAATATGTCTATAATTAATGGTTTATACAATTTTTTGTAACTTACAAAATAGGTTTTAGATGTAGCTAACTTATAATGATTTTTGTTCATTTTTTATACTTAGCTTATAGTACGTCAAAACTTTCGGAATTATTTCCACCTTGTTTGAAGGTTCTAGCATAAATACCTATGTGTAGCTAGATAAGGAAGGTTCACTGGCCCTGAGAGCTATTTCAGCTATTGAAGCTTTATCGCTACTGCGTTTTGTCATAGAATAGAATAACTCTTTATTGTCAATGCCACGGATACAGAAATTTATACACGAATATTAATATTACTGTGTAACAATTATCGGTCTTATCGCTTAGAGTGACAATCAGAAAACGGGGGTGCAAACTAAAATATACTTATTTATTGAATTCTTATAAATATCTTCAGTTTTCGCGACGTTCGACAGATGTGTGACCACTTACAACTTACACGGCGAGTCAAAAGCCAAACACAATTTTGTATATTCAAAATAATATTTAATTTTCTATATCTGCGCGAGCAGTAATGACATTTGATTGATAACTACTGATAAATCAATATGTTTTTATTGAACTCATGATAATAAATTTCTTAGCGTATAACTAAACGTATGTTTGCATAATCATATTGAGCGGGTATGCATACGATGATATAACGTGTCAATAAAAGCACGATGTCATCCGAATACATCTCGATGATATCTCACTAGTAGTGATGAGAAAGCGTCACGCCTGACGATTGCGGCATATGTAATATCTCTCACAGAGTATCTCATAATTTCATCATATAATTTAGCTCTTGACATATAATTAAATTGAATGAGACAGCAAAGATGGACGATTTACGAAGTTCCGTTCATGCGCAGTCAGTAAATTGTTAGATACTTTGAGGAACTTTACAAAGTTAACTTGCTAGCTAAAGATTGTGAAATTATAAAGTTCCAGAGATCAGCTTCTTGTCATCAGTTAGTGCGTGTGCTTGTCGATTAAGTATTTTCAATAGATGTTCCTAAGGTACACATAAAATGTTTTCGTTAATGTGGACTCAATATGAACAAACGAAATATTTATTTTAAGTGCTAAATAAAATGCCGGGCTTTAATTGTGATATATTCACGGTCTTAAGAGCATTGTAAGAAACTTTCACCTGTTTTATCTAGCGATGTTCCAATGGTGTATCAAGTAGGTCTCCAGCTCAAACCTTTGATCGGATAGTAAATATCATGACAAACACATTTCGTGTACAATAGTCCAGGTAAATTGTGAATATAAAATAATAACTTTATATACATTGCGTCTAAATTGTATAATATACCTCTGATTATAAACCGGCGGTCTAGTTGCCAATCATTCAATTTTAGCGACTTTATTTTTTACATGAATAATGTAATATATTTTAATATCAAATATTTTTACATAATCGAAACTGGTATTTTAGTAGCGTCCACTTTTCACAGGGACTTCAATAATCCGACCGCACCAACAGTTTTACTCAAACGAACGAAACACCACAAAGGCAGCATTTATTGTTTGGCATGGAGTCCAGCGGGGGATCTTCTCGCGACAGGCTCCAACGACAAAACAGTGAAACTTATGCGATTCAACAGTCATTCGTGTAATCTCGAAGGGCAAGAGGTGAGTTCGATGTTTACGCAGAATATTTTATAAGAACCTTTTTAATATAAAATTCTATTCTGAAAAACAAGTTTAGGATTTACGACCAGACAGTCTTTAGGGACTGCCTGGGTATTGTTGTTTGCGATAGCGTTCACTATTTAATTGGTGAAGTAATCAATTCTGTCGGGCAGTCTTATTACGAACAGTAAGTAAACGGGTCGACGAAATTGTGTCAGCCGCAAATTGATCACCGAACTAAATTTTTTGTACACATTGTCTTATTCTCCCTCGATAATGAAATGGATAATATTCTCCGTATATAGTTTCTATATAAACCATTGTCATCGATGCCAAACTAGGAACTAGAATTGAGTAGTAATTATCGAATTGTCTTAGTAATTGTAGAGTAGTAAAAGCGTTGAATATTTATGAATTTTGCTGTCGTTAATTTTCAACGTATATTCCCATTTAGTGTCTGCAAGTTACTAAACTATGCGACCAGTGTTGTTTCAACTAAACTATGAGAATGTACTTGAAGTTATGGCACGTCTTTCCTTATACCACAAGCTTTAATAAGCCCGTGTGTGTGTGGAATCCGTCAAGATAGGCAAGATCGATCGATTTCTAATTTATAATGTACAAGCTATTATCCCGCGACTTCACCCGCATATGAAATAGCGTCCCGCAGGTGGAAGCCATTTCGAGATACGATCAGTTTTCCAAAGATAAAACATAACTATCAAAGTGAGAAACTATCTTTTTACAATATTAATATAGATGACACTCAACCTTGCATGCCTAATGGATAATTGGTCTCTTATAACGCGTAATATGCTGCTTGGATTTGCTAATAAATTTATGGCAATAACATTTAATAGATAATCGATGTCTACAATAAAGATCGAAATAAAGATAATAAACTGTATTAAGAAATTTAAAAAATATAATACCTTTTAAATTAATTATTACAACTTCTACTTATTCTTGCTAAGGCCAAACTAAGGTACGCGTAATTATTTCATGTCATTTAAAAAGTTTCAATATCGAGTTACTGAATATTTTTTTTGTGTTATTGATAACCCTAGACCCTTTTGTAGTTGTTATTGGTAGGCTCTTATAACCACTAGGAATTTAATTGAATATTCTATGAGCTGTACCAAGAAAGTGCTATTAGTAATGACGTTTTACAACCTTACAAACAAATTCCATTTCGATATCTACAATAAGGGTTTTATTAGTATATTACTTCGAATAAACGAGGACTGTGAATAATTTCTTTTGATATTATCACATCCGCTTTATTTTCCTTAACAAAATACTCCAATATATTTTCCAATACAAAACTCCTTAAATATATAATGAAGAATGATCTGCATGATACGATTCAACTATGTCTATCCATAGTGTGCTTAATTTTTACGTGTTATGTCTATTCAGTTAGTAGTTTATTGGTAATATCCAATGTTCTATTATTTATTAAAAAGGTACGAGTATATTGAGAGCTATTCCATGTGGCATAGAAAACAATGTAAGGATATGAGCGATTCCTAACATTGAAATTCTGATTTATTAAATATACATTCGACAGTATAAAGTAAACCTCTTCGACGTTCATTATACTTTTCCTTATTTTGGTTTAAGCCCAAGTAGCACAAAACACCATTATATCAAACTTATAATAGCACGAGTCCAAGCGTTAAGCATTATAATAAAATCGTATATCAACCGTATTTCTTTTAAACGACTCTTATACATAAAATTTGGGCCCCCCCTTTGTACGACTTTAAGCTTTATAAAAGCTGTGCAATAGCACTACAACTTTTGTATAATAGCATTAATAAAGTCGGGTAAAATCATTCTAATAGCCACAAAAAGTTCAATTAGCACCTTAAAGTGCTAATTGAACTTTTTGTGACTATATTACAATTGATATGCGTAAATCAAAATTATAATACGTTAATTTAATATTATAAAAATGCTTACTGTTTTATTTCCTTTGTAAAAAAGTATATTTAATAAATTTTAAAAACATATAATCGGTTTAAATTATTGTTTTGTGTAAGTGTCATGACATGTTCTCTTGGCTGGTCTTTTAAGTATTTTTGAATATTGATTTAAACAGCTCGTTTTGTGTGAAATAAGCTGCACACATCAGTTTGTGGAGTAAAATATTCAAGTTTATGGTGTAAAATACACGCGCCTTCGCAAACTTCCTTTAATATAATAAAAATAATAAAAAATTTAACCTAGTAGCAAAAATTTTTGTTGAATTTTAGGCTTTTTTAGCATTGTTTTAACAACATAATTGCTTTTATAGGCATCTGTGCACAAAATAAATGATTATTTACCCCTTTTCATCTGACACAGTTGACTTTAAATATTTTGTAAGAATTGGAAAAAGAAAGCAAATGGCGACTCGTAAAATTAAAGCATTAGATATTCAAATACGGTGTAGTAGAGCTGTTAATCGTATTATGGTTAGACACAAAACTAAGAGCTCGTAATTCACCGTATAACACACTCCCATTTTAGTTACAGCCGTATTTTTACACTTCAGAAGTATCTTATAGTGCTTATAATCATCAAACGATTATTTCATTTTTATTTTGATTTTTAAAAGCTTCAATTAAATTAGAATACTCTTTTTTCAGTTATCATTTATATCCACCTGTTTTCTTTGTTTTTCCCAACGTTTTTTATCCATGGCCTGGATGCGTATAAAATGCCTAAGGCATTAAGTCCGCCTTTGTACGATTGTGCATAAAAAATGCCACCATTACAATACAATACATAAAATAATTTTACATTTTAATTTCACATAAAAAATAATTACGATCTATTTATTACTTCTATCTCTATAAATAACTTAATATTGATCAAAATATAGCTTAATGTTTTATAAAAGCATAGATTAAGAAGATAAAGGAACTTGAGCTTGATTACAGAATACTTTAAGAACAAATCGGTGCTAAAGTTTTACTAGTTCTTTATTCAATGTGTATATAGGATAAGCATTAAATCGATACAACCATAGACCATTAGAAAACCTTTGTTTCTAGAAAATGACTAAATACAACTAAGTGCACTAAATAGTATTACGTTAATGCTTATATAATATATAATGTTTTTCATACCACCGAAATACGATAACAGCTTTATATTAATATTACCCAATACTTAAATAGGAGTTTTGACATTGATATACTTTTTTTATTAACCATAATATGGCATTAAGCATTATTAGATAAAATAAATGCCTTTAAACAGATTCGAAACATGACCAGAGCTGATTAAAAATGTTAGTATGACTTTAGGACATAAATCGGTACTTATTTTAGTTAATATATTATTTATGTGCTACTTGGGAGTATTGCTCTTCTTATTTTACATTTATAATAATAACAAAACATATTAAACAATATTACGTACATTGTTGAGATCTCAAATTAAAAACACAAATAAATAACTTAAGGTCTATAATATCATGTACTACCATAGTATCATGTAGTATCTTTGCACACGCGGTGGATTATCCGTCGCTTACTAACGCATACTACCGCGTTACGCTCGACGGATTTACCCGACCTTTATCTGATGTACTAATGTGTACATTGTGATCCATTGCTTTAATTAAAATTTGAATTCTATTACATTTAATCGATCAAATTTCTAGTGCAATTTCACAAGAGTGTTTCGGAGCGTGTCCATTGCATAATTGTATAAAATACTTGACGTAAAATTCATTTCCGTTTTGGACCGTGTTGAAGGTAGACATGTTCATTTTCAACAATGCTTAATTATTCACTACAAGTGTCTGTGTTTTCGCATTTCATTCCTACAGGGAAACGAGTAAAATAATAAACATAATACCAACTTCACCGACCCTTCAGAGAAATCATGACTGACTTGACAAATATTTATTCAATCAGTGGGTCAAATTTTATAATTATAAGATTCCTTAGACACCCTGTTTCTTAATTTGGAATTTAAAGTTAAGCACGTCTCAACTATACTTAACGACACTTCAACGGGTTTTCGTTTCTGATTTTAGTTTTCTGTTGATAGCAGTTTGATAAAACTAGGACTTTTTGTCTTGTAAAACGTTAAAAACTTTATTTATTGAGTTGAGAATAAGCAGTTGAGATTTCGTACTTCTCTCAATTCAAAAATCGGCGGATTTAATGGGGAAGACTTTGAATTAAGGCAAAACATAAATGTCATTTGGCTACGAGGTACACTGATTCTGCATGTAGAACATGGACTTCATTCTCTGTTAATTGATTCAATTACCTTGTAAGTTCTGCTCGGCTAATCGAATTGAATGATGCTATAGGCATCTAATGATTGTTATTGTCTTATTACTCAGATACTATAACGTATTGTCCTAAATGTCAGCCTTGGGATATTCAATTGCACTAACAATTGGATAATCGATAAAACTGTTTGTTCATTAAAAACTTTATTGATTAAACTACATGGTTAAAATAAATAGTGACTATATGCTCGGTATGAGTTTAAGTAACCTTAATAGCTCTTTACATTGGTCGATACGGTCGTGCGAGACATTAGATAATTGACGAATGAGATGATCCCACAGATGTTGATTGAACTTAGGGATGATCGATATTAGAAAAACATCGATATTGATATCGATGTCATCATCGTATGCTCAACATCGATCTTCGATATTTATCGAAATCTGAACATCTATGATTTTTTGTAATAATTTACAAAAAAATAAATTACAGTGAAATTTTTCAAAATTTATTAAGAAACAGAACAAATTATTACATATCCCAATATTCTTTATCAACTGATTGAAGGAAAACTAATTTTGATAACCTTTTAATCTATTTCTTTAGGTATTGATAAAGAGTAGAGCCAGCTTATTCCTTTGTAATTAAAGCGAAAACATTGTGATCCGAGAGACTTCTTTCGGGACACGAAGTTATCTTCTTGAACCTTTACACCTTCAAGGCACAACAAAAGCAGCAAGCAGTTAGTATCGTTATATTCTTACGGGCAACTTATTTACTTTTGTTCTCAAAATTTATGCCAGATTTTTTTTAACATTTCACATATTATAAAAACATACTTGATATAATGGTTCTAAACAGTGAGGTTGTCCAAACGGCTAGACTTTCTTTCTTTCAAACTGTGGATTCAGCTTGTAGATTCGTATCCAAAACAGCCGAAATGGTCCGACACAGATAGGGATTTTCCCAACGATCTCTATTTGTCCAAACAAGTGACAGTGACGAAGATAGAAATGTAATTCAAATCTATTTCTGACCGTTTGTGAATAAGGTAGTTGATTTATAAATAATATATTAAAGCTTGTTAGCAGACCTTTACGAAATCCATCATTAATCCATCTTTAATTAAAGATTAGTCGAAATCTAATTGGCTCTATTTCTAAAGTTATAAATCGATATAAATTTTAAGCTTGTTTTGGTTGAGAATATTAAGATTAAATATAAAATAAATATAGGGAAAATTAAGTCTGTAATTAAATAGAAATACGCTTTTTTTTTTGTTAATTGAATTATGCTTGGATGAAAAGGCTTTACTGTGAGTCGCCAATTCTACTTCAATTAACAAACGTTTTTGGGATATTGTGGGAAAGTTAAAACAAAATACTTATCTCTACTATAATCCGCCTTCAAGTTTCCCAGTCATGAAAATAAGGGTTTGTACCGCTTCATCTACCGTAACGAGGAGATATAAGGCAGTTAGAATTGTATCACCTCAGGCGTTCGTTTATCTTTATATGTCGAGTAAGTATATTTTATGTGACTATTACTAAGTATTTTCTTGCAAGATACATATTGATATATCTTATATCAATAAATACAATATACTTACCGTACCTTAAATAACCGTAAATTAAAAACTACATTGTAATTGCTCCATAACTACAGCCGGATATATACAGTTGAAAAACAATTAAATTGCTTGAATTTATTTCAATGATATTCTATATCTTCTCGTCATTGAATCCACGTTTATAGTAAAAAAAATATTACATGAGATAGCCGAAGCCAGTGACCTTGTCCACAAACGTCGGGAACTGTTTACGCCGAAAGTTTCGGTAAATGTCATATGAACATGATTTACAGTTTCGTAATCGAAAGCTTTTGACAGTACGATTCTAAACCATGTCTTTATTTTAAAGATTCATTTTCGACAACTATTTTGTGTCGAAACGTTTACGATACAGTAAATTATAATAACACTTTTTAAAGTTTAGTTTCAGTTGATTAGTGTAGAATTCATATTTTACCCAACTCAAATTCAAAGTTATCCTAATCTTTTTATCCTATCCTGTCTTTACCGAAATATCGAAAACAACTTTAAGCTGGAGTCGGTGGCCGATTCTGTATTGATGTGTTTTTTATTATATTTTTAAGTATTAGCGTTAAAGAAAACGTTTTGTATATAACATTTTCTGTGACGCCAACAGTAAAAAAAGGGGAAATGAAAGGGTTTTATCGGGCGTCATTCATCCGATAACATACATTCTTTATTTAGATACATACTATTGATCCACGGATGATCGTCTGGCTGGTACTCAGATATCCTTTGAACTTTTGAATTGCTTGTACAATCATCTGGTTTCTTTGTATAAGAAGCCTCATCGATCAAGAGTAAATGAAATCCTGTATGCTCCGGAAATTTTGTGTTGGGAAAACCTTTGTGTATTTGACGATGATTTATTAAAAGTATTAACGGTGTTATGATTATATTTTTAACTGTTATCAAATAATTTCTTTATTGAATATATGTGTGTGAGTGAATCACGTTCATTGAGGTCTCAGTTTGATTCACGGTTCAGTCAATATACATACAAAATTAAACCAAATTCTTTATTTTTCATATATAAGTTAACACGCTGTCTTCTTTTTATTCCCTCACTTACATTCCACCTCTTTCATTCATTATATTTACCACATTCGGACAAGTAAACAACCATATCCACTAATTGTATTTTCTTTCATTCATATATTATTGAATATGTATTTGCCCTTATACGTTATAAAACGAAATCCCCCACCGTATCAGTCTGCCAACGTGATACTCAAATTATCGAACGGGTTTTCATGCGGTTTCCACCAAAGTAATTTTCGAGGAGTTTCTATGTGCAATAAATTAAGGTTTTGTATAAATTGGTTGTCCCTGAGGCCTAGTTACCTACATATACATAGCACAAGTGCGAAACTGAGACCAAATAGCCAGTTTATTATTAACGTAAGTGTGGGTCCTATGTCCCTTTATATAAAGTAAAAAAAAATACACACAAGTGTTTTAATGTATAATTAAATTCATTAAAATATCAGCTTTTATTCGTTTTAATTGTTTTATTTGAAAATGCCCAAGATTTATGTCCGTCCAGTCGTTTTACCACACGTTAACAAAAGGGTAGCGTGCCAATCAACTAGATTTATTTCAGGAATCCTGTTTAAAATACACAAATGGAAAACTTAAGCTATAAAATGTGTCATATTTTTATATGCTTATTCCTCTGGTGTAAATCATGGTTTTCGGTCACTGTTTTAAGATTTTATACTTCACTCACTCAATTGCATAAACGTGCAAACATTTAATGACGACTTAAAGCTTTAATGATTGTTCTAAATTTGAACACTTGTATCGGCAATAACGCTTTAATTAAACTAATGTCAATATTAATGGATGGACGGATAATATTTGCAACCGAGTGTAAACTGTCAAAGATAATACTTTGTCCATAAAATTTGCACCATAACGACGCTTCTTCACAAAGTAAAAGAAGGATAAATAAAGAAATACACGCTATAATATTAGTATGTTTATGACTTACCTAACTCTGGAATAAATAAAATGTTGAACAAACTTAATAGTAACGCACGTCGCCCTTACATATGTGCCCGTCTTTTTTATACAAGAATAAGCGCGTCACGCTAAACTGATATGGGTTCACTTCACTAATGGGTGTACATATACTTACTCGTATAACACAATCCAGTGGTAATAGGTTCTGGGTCTCAGGGTAACATTAGCGTGGGATATACATGTATAGTACCATATTTCCGATACACGAAAACGTATCAAGTAATAAAAAAAAATAGCAATGGCGTAATAACAAATGTCAAAATGAATTGACCACCGCTAACATTTTGATAAAGATAACATACTTCATTGTGTAGTTTGTGAGTGATAGTGCAAATAGTTTCACACTTTTTTACTTACAACACATCAGTGTTGAGACCTCTATCGCCCGGAGGCAATATCATTAATACGACGGTAGCTGTGTCTCAGAACATTAGATTATATAAGTGTATTTCAGCGACCTCTGTAGTAGAGTGGTTTGCATGCCCGTTTCCAACGTGTTGCCAATTCTGAGGACTGTGTTCGATTCCCTGACCTGGTGGTTATAGATTAACATAACACAAGAGCCACCTACTTAATTTAGGGTTCTGCCAGTGACTCAACGTAGCGTCTTGGGAATCGTTTCGTGCCTCATTTACATTGGTCAATAGGGCTAGTAGCATTAGAAAATTAGCGCGATTTTTATGATCGTTTATCGGTTGTCTATGGCTTATCTACCAATAAAACTGCAGAAATCGCCCTTACTTAGCATACCCTGTCGACCAATGTCTTGAAAGGACCGTCAAGCCTAGAGTCGGCTAGAGGCGCACTGAGTGGAATCGAATCGCGTTGTCGCTGAAATTCTCCTGGGACAATACGCAAACTCAGCTCGTGATTCGATTTGACTTGGCTTGCGACTTCAAAGGTTTCATTAAATTTATTGTAATAAATAATATTTATTTAAGGTTGAATTAACGATGCATGACGGCACGGTCCGCGATGTGTGCTTCATAGAAGACACGTCTAATAAGACCAGCCTGCTTGTAAGCGGCGGGGCAGGTGATTGCAAGATATACGTCACCGATTGTGCTACTGGCAAGACTTTTCAAGTAAGTATAGTCAAGTCTCGCAATATTTATAAATATGTGATAATTAGTTAGTAATATTATAAAAATAATAAAATACGAGATGGCGACTTTGTATTAATTTTTTAGACTTTTTATAATGTCATTATCTTTTTATTAAGGATTAAATTTGATAATGCTTATTATTGATCATGTTCATCATCGCAGTCGCCACGACACCCTCACTGGATCTATACTCATAGGCCTATGAATGTTCACTACGATTGATCTTGCGTTCCCCACATTCAGCAGCTTCCCGTTACCTTTATCAAATATCGTTCAGATTGCCCGAGGCTTTACCACTGAGAGCCGTTTTGCATGTGTTACCCATTTCAGAACTTTTCTGTACCCACGACATTCTTTTCGCTCTACAAGCAATCCTTCGAGCACTTTAGTTCAATTTTATTTGCCCTACAAACGTGCTCGTTTCTAATGCAATCACGTAAATAAAAATCCTATACGACTCAAAAATTTTGTTTGATGTTATGATGCAAAGAAGCTAGGGTCTAGCACTATCTCGGATAAGCAGATAATCTGATAAATAGATAACAACTTTTTGAAAATAAAATAATAACAGCTTTTTGAATTTTTTGGAGCTACAGACATATTTTGGCAGAACGTTTGGAAAATTTCAAATTTTCCACCCTGTTTATTAAATAAAAAGATAACTTGGTTATAAAACAAATAGTCCGTATCTACTAACTAACGTAGCAAGCAAGGGAACTGATATGAAGATAGAAGGTGTAACATTAGATGGAGAAATTTAAGTTTCGTATAATCGTGATGTTACTGTACAAGGGACGTTATAATTAGTTAAGAATGACGCTACCACGCAAACCTTCGGGTCGTTCATTTGCATTACTGTACAGAATCCCAGTGAATAAAATTAGAATAAGCTTGTGGATCCTACTGCTTTTGTACGTCATAGAGATCTTTTGATAATAACGTTTTAGGATTGTGAATCTCTAGGTCTCGTAATAAAAACGTTATTTTAGGATCACGGACCGTCCGAATAATAGTTATGAATACTAAAAAACTTTGTTAGGATCATGACATTTCGAATAAAGAGGTCATAATTGATATAGAATTTATTGTTGTTTTCCATTTATAATTGGTATTTTAATAGATAATAATATAATTACATCGATGTTTTTTTATTATAATGGTTGGTGCAAATCTGACCGATGATCCGTGGAGTGTGCAATGTTGAATGTCAAAATTATCACTCATATCTATAGTCGAGTAGAAGTGATTACTTGAGTAAAAGAAATAACTTAAGCATATACTTTTAACAAATAATTAAGAATTTGAATTAAATAAGACCTATCTAAAGTTAGAATACTATTTTTATTAGCTATTGATAGTTCTTTCTTCATTATTTTTCTCGTCTATTGATTAAATTATTTGTTTAAATCATTACTTTTACTAAAGTAATTGCTTCCACTCGACTATAGATACAAGTATAAATATTTTTCCGCGAGGAATCGTCCATCAGATATGCACTGAGTCTTCCATTTTTAAACGTTTAGGATCCTTTGCAAGCTAGTCTAAAACAAAGATGTTTATCGTCCTAGTCCTCCATCGTTATGGCTTCAGAACCTGATAAAAAAATATATCTTTTCAAAGAAAAATATTTGAAATCATTAGTTCTTTTTAATTAATTAACGACACAGTTATTTGAAAACTTATATATTTAGCAATACTAAATCCTTTCAGAGCATGCCAGAGATTTTAGAGCATATCATAATCAAAGCTCGGTGGTGTAGTGGATAAGCGCCGCGGCCCACGATCGTTGTCGTTAAGCAACTTTCGCAAGGGTCGGTCACGGGATGGGTGACCAAAAAATTATTATCTCGAGCTACTCCGTGCTCCGGAAGGCACGTTATTTGCAGTCGTAAATACCCTTCAATCCGCTTTGGGCCAGCGTGGAGGATCACGGCCCATCCTCCTTAACCTTCCATAAGGAAGCTCTGAGCCCCTGCAGTGGGGATGTAAAAGGGCTAATGATGATGAATAATAAAAGGTTCCTCAGTGAATTTGAGCGACGCGAGGGTTGTCTTCTATGATTTGTATTTGTTAATGTAAGTGTCTACAGCAAAATTCACGATAGGTGTCTATCTAAAAATATAAAGCATTGAGCTCTCGTTCTTTCTTTCTCTTCTGATGTTTGAGGTTCCTGGGCGAAAGACCCGTGTGGCCTTTTGTTAAAGTCGAATTGACCTTCTTTATCAAATGGACAAAGTGACGATAGGAGTAGGAAGATATTATGATTTCCATGAATTTTAATCTGCTTTTCTCAGTAGCACGTAATTGATTCTAGAGTAGATCGAATTTGTTTTACCTTATTACATATTTTTATGTAGCAATTGAAGTGCTTGATGGCGTGATGGTTAATATATTCAATTTTTTTCAATACTCAATATTTTTATTGTATCTATAGGTAATATATGGGGTTTTTATTTATTAATAAACGAAAAAAAAACTGAATATCAACATTACAGTTGGTTAACAAAGCAAATAATGAGTCCATAGAAAGTCACTGAGAGTCATTAAGTGTAAAAGAAGCAGCTAATTACTCTTTATGGAGAGCGACCAGAAGCCTCAACCATCCCATAGAGCATAAAATTGAGACTTGAAAAAGCGGATGCGTTTGGGACCTATCCGACAGGTATGTTTAAGCCATATGAAGCAGAACTCACTTTTATGTACTTAATCAAGACTACACAAACAAACCCGAGAGAAATTATGGAAATCACCAATTATATTGAGGGAAAAGAAAGCACCTGGATGTGACCTCAATGATTACAGAGTATTATGAGAACTTCAAAAGAGAGCATATCCCAATTCTACCCAGTCTTAGCTGGTGTGCGACAGGGTTTTGTGGTAGGGCTAATGCTCTGCGTGATTTACACCTATGATTTACCACAGCTGGAAGAAACATGGCCAAATGGAGAATAAAGGTCAGTGCTGTAAATCCGGCACATGTGACTCCTTCGTAAAGGAAAGTATCCTTCAGACTCACTACGTGGATATCAACTACCTATATTTAGACAGGAGGCTGACATAGAAAAATCACATCCAAGACAATCAAAATAAAATCAATCTCAGATTCAGAAAGTTTTTTTGGATGTTGACAAGAAACTGATCTGTAGCTGGAGAACAAGTTATTCATCTACAAAACTATAATAAAGCCAGCCTGCACACTGGCACTCTGGCAGAGAGCTCAAAATTATATGCTGAAATAAATCTCCAACGCCTAATGGTTCATAAAAATTTATGAACACCATGAATACTTAGATATTAACACCGTCAAGCAAGAGATCAGAACAAATTGTATGAATTTCAAGAGAATCCATCCAAGTGAACTTGCGGCGCAGCTTATTAATCGCGTGGTCTACGTAAGACAATAATCGTTAAATTTAGTTTGAGAGTAATTAATTAAACAGTTTTCGCCACACAATTAGACATTCTCTTGTTATAGTCTATATATGTCTATAATATATTTATGTGTGTGTATGTATATCCGCGTGGGCAACTGTCATTTCTCTATTTAAGGCGGGAAAAAAACCTATGCAGATTTTCCGCGAACTGAAAAGGTTTCCTATAAGCCACAACTTCGTCTATCACACAATACATCGCCAAAGGTGTGGTAGGCCACGCTCTGTGAGGACGCTTGCGAACATCAAAATCACCCGAGAGCGACTTCGCCGAATTTCATGTCCCACTCAGAAGAAATTCGCAAGGATGTCCTAAAAGTAGCAACTACTAAAAGTAGCAAGGATGTCCCAGCTTCTGCAAGGAATGTCTCGCACACTCTTCAGCCGGCTAGTTTGATGGTATAGTGCGGAGTTTTGTATAAAGGTGACACTCCGCTTCATTTTTGTCAACAAGGTGTCAAGGTGAAAGCCAAAAATTATCAGAGTGACATTTTAGAGCCCGCGGTGAAACCCCTGACTGATTCGTTATTTCAAAATAAGGTTTTTCAGCAAGACTCGGCGCCATCCCATTAGGCAAAAAGCACCCAAGCTTGGTTGAGGGAGAATATGCCGGCTTTTATCACGGCGGACGGGTGGCCCTCCTCCAGCCCTGATCTCAACTCGCTGGATTATTCTTTATGTGAATTAGAGCTCACGGCCTGCCGAAAGTCCTACCCAAACTTGAAGTCACTGAAGCGAACCCTTGTTCGAGAAGCAAAGCGAATTCCGCTAGAAAAGATTCGTGACGCCATTGATGAATGGCCAAATCTTCTAAGGGCCTGTAATAAAAACAAGGACGGTCATTTTGAATAAAATATATATTTTATTGTTTATTATTATCTATTTAATGGTTTCTGAAAATTTTATAAATATATCTTAAGTAGCTTTTCGCCAGCGGCTTCGTCCGCGTGGTTTTGTATTATACATAAAAACAATCCTTTTGAATCACCCTTTCTATGAAAAAAAAACCGCATCAAAATCCGTTTTAAAGATTTGAGCATACATAGGGATATAAGGACAGAGAAAGCGACTTTGTTTTATACTATGTAGTGATAATTAAAATAGTTATGCAACTTTTATTTCGTCTCAATACTTATGAACACACGAGGTATATTTCTCGGTTCACATATGAACGTTTGTGATCCATTCTACAAATTACAAATACGAATATGAAACCTAATATACGAGAAATACGAGGGTCAAACTGAAAGTTCTTAGAAAATCAAAAACTGATTACATTAGCCAGTTATTAGTTTTATTATATCTTTTCAAAATATTGTCCATTCACGTCAATACACCGCTGCATGCGATGGAACCACTGAGAAAAGCACTTTGCCCACTCGTCCTTAGGGGTCTCTTCAATGGCATCGCGATACGCAGCCACCGCTTCTTCAGCATTCATAAACCGCTTTCCTTTAAGTTTTTCTTTAATTTTTGGAAATAAATAAAAATCACAAGGCGCGAGGTCGGGGCTATACGGCGGGTGACCCAGTAATTCAACGTTTGATGTCGCCAAATAGTCGATCGTTCGCTTGGCGGTGTGCGACGAGGCGTTGTCGTGGTGAAGGAGGATCCTACTGCGAGGTCGTTTCTCTCGAACTTTTTCCAAGACAAGTGGCAAACAATTGGTAGTGTACCATTCTGCAGAAACTGTTTTTTGATCCTCTAACACAATTGTTGCAAAATGACCTATCCTTCCAAAGAACGAGGCCACCATTTTTTTTCCCGCACTTCGATCTCTCTTCACTTTAGTTGGCAACTCCTCGAAAGGAAACACCCACTGAGCAGATTGTCTTTTGGTTTTAGGATCATAACAGTAAATCCAGCTTTCGTCACCTGTTAGTATGTCGAACACAGCATTTGAGTCACCTCCGTTAAATCTTTCAATCATTTTACGACACCAATCCACACGATGGAGTTTTTGAGCCTCAGTCAAATTATGAGGTATCCACCGGGCGCAAAGCTTCCTGACCGCTAAATGTTCGTGGAGGATTTTGTGCACTTGACTCATACCGATGCCTAAGCTTGTCCGAATCTGTTGATAGGTCACTCTTTTGTCAGTCTCCATCATACGCCGCACAACACAGATGTTATCTTCAGTCGTCGCCGTAGAAGGCCGTTCCTCACGTAAATCATCAGTGAGATTAGTGCGACCACGTTTAAACTCATTAAACCAGTTGTAAACAGTCGCACGAGATGGGGCTTCATCGTGAAAGGCCAATCGTAGTCTATCATAACTTTCTTGTTGACTTAAATGACATCGAAAGTCATAAAAAATCATTGCACGAAAATTTTCTCGTGTTAAATTCATGATGACGTGACACAGACAATTTTCAATTTGCCGCCAAATCGTAAAACAAATGACAAATGAATGAAATATATACTCAGTAATATTGGCAAAGAGTTATATTTTCAAATTTTAGAATTATTTTTTTATTATATTGTTTATAAGTGGCCAGTTCTAAGAACTTTCAGTTTGACCCTCGTATTACCTAATATATCTGAAACATCACAATGAATTTTGTATTAAATCCTACTTTTCATTTCTCGTTTTTTTTTTCGTAATTACGTACTTATTATGATAAGGGATAAAATTTTCATATTAGTTATTTTTTCTACCTATAAAGCCCAGACAATGCGTCCATAGTCTTTAGGATAATGAATTAAAGCTACCACAGTATGTTAAATTTTGTACTTTACTCTGAATGTAATAAGGTTTATTTATAAATAGATTGGAAACATTTAACAGTTTGATATAACCTGCCGGGTTGTTACTGCACATTCAGCTTGTAGGATTAATATCACTAATTTTAATTAAATTAAAATTATTTTTGCTAACTTACTTGGCAAAAGGTTGCCGACCGCTGATAAGTATGATTCAGTCCATAGAAAAGGACTTATAGTGGGACACAGAGGCTGATGATGACTGATGAGGAAATACGAGTATATGAAAGAAAAAACAATTTTGAATTAATCTGTTGTATAATATTACAATAGGGATGATGAATTTTTTTTTTGTTTGCCCTTTAGATCGAAAAATATTAACGCGTATTTTTATCAGGCTTTTGTACATTTTCTACAAAACTGTGACGTAGCGAGCCCCAACTCCTCAACTTTTATGCCTATTTTCTATTTCTCGTTAAATTTAAGTAAACAAAAAAATACATAAATAATATTACTCTTTTATCTAACTGACGGTCTTTCTGTTAATAGAATTTCTGTTTTCTTACACGGGCACCATCTCTATTAGATATATATACCGCTAGTGCTATATTATAACGCTACAATATTGGGCAGGCATTGACTGGTCATTCCGGGCACGTGTTGTCACTATATAACTGGGGAGGCGCCATGTTTGTGTCTGGCAGCCAGGACAAGACTGTACGTTTTTGGGATCTTCGCACGGGTGGATGTGTTAACGTGATATCGCCACCAACTGGTCACCCGAGCAAGGTACGTCAATTGTCTGAAACAAATTTTTAGTTTTTATTATATTATATTAGTATAATTCTGCAATATCTAGCTATAGATAAATTAAATTTATAGGTATGATAATAATAACTGTAAAAATAAAAGACAATGTTCAAACTCGATTTAAATAAATAAAAAAGTAGTTTTATTTGTAATTTTATTGATGTATTAATTAGCAAAACATTAATTATCGTAAAGATTTTTTAATTTGATATTATACCATTATATGAAGGCAAACAGACATGCTAATATGTATTTTATAGCTTTTGTCTGTTTGCTGTGTACAAATTTGTCGCTTGTATACTTCTGGTAGGCCGTTAACATAATATTAATGCTCGGTGTATATCTGACGGAAGATGCGTCGCGTTTTTTCTGTCGTGGAACATCTGAACTGACAAATCATATGTTATGAGATTCAACCTATTAATGTATATTTCTGTGAAAAGCATGACGGACATTCGATCAGATTTGCACCAACCCATTCTGGTTCTTAGTACAAGATCTGCTGCCATAGATTTATGAACCGATTGCGTAGTTAACGGTCGACGGCTCGATCAATCGACTTTTGACAACCGTCTATAATTAATAAGTGTTTGTTGACATAATATTGTCGGCACAGGGCTCGGCGGTGGCTTCTTTAGCGGTAGATCCCAGCGGGAGGCTTCTCGTGTGCGGGCACGACGACGGCTCGTGTGCGTTGCATGACGTGCGCGGGTCGCGCGCGTTGCAGCGGTTCACGCCGCACGCGGGCGACGTGCGGAGCGTTCGATTTTCACCAGGCGCTTACTACTTACTCACGGCCGGGTACGATGGACGCGTCGTGCTGACAGATCTACAAGGTCAGTGCATAGATTAATCTAATGGCTTGCCCATGTGTCATGCTCGTGAACTGATATTGCAAGTGAAGATGAGTGTGCTCTAGACTACTTATTCTTGTCCATTTTATTGTACTCATGTATATTAAATTATTTATTTATCGGTGTACTTATTTCAATTGGCATGTGATTCGATTGTCGAGTATAAATACTGTTTTACTTTTTTATATTTTCTAATATTGTAAATCTATTATAATGACTTTATATTCTAATGAATTTTTCAATCTTAACATCTCTGCATGGAATAAAACTAGGAGAAAAAATCAGCCCTTGCTAAGTTTCTTCCGCCATAGATATAAGAACCGATAGCGTAGAGTTTCGACTTTCACGAGTGCTTGTACCAGTCTAGACTGAATGATTTTGAAACATGATTTTAATTTGATTCAATATTAAAGGTATTTTGCTTTCAAAGTGCTATTTAATCTTAAAGAAAATAGTTTATTTGAAACGTTTCCATAAATTTGTGAAAATGATAACACGTCTAATGTTAACTAGTATTAATCTAGTTAAACATCAACTAGATTTTACTCTGCTCTAGTTCTATTTTTTTATTATTATTTGTTTTATATAAGACTCCTGTTTAATTCACTGAAATGGAGTTAACTGAATCTAGAGTAAAGATGAATACTAACCCACCTTCATTATTGTCTTGGAGCCCTTTGTTATGCATTTAGTATGGGCGGGTAGCTACGAGATACTTTGAACATAATAATAGAAATGGTAACATAATAATTTGCCAACCTTCGGGGTCACATTTATTATTTTATATTGAAATTCTAAACCTGATGTAGCGTAAATTTTCTGTTTAATATCAATTCTGACAACCCTATCTATAGTCGAGTAAAAGTAATTAAGCAAATATTTTAAACAAATGTGCAAAAATTTGAATTAGAAAACTGTTAATCGTAAGAATACTATTATTATGAGCTGTTTTATTATTAATATTGTTTTATTCTAAATCGCGTCTATTGGTTAAAAATATCGCCTAAAGTTATGCCATTTTCTCAAGTAGATATAGGAATGTCAATAGGCAAAAAAAAGAAATTCTATTAGTCCGTCAGTCAGATAATAGGAAAATATTAGATACGTATTTTTTTAACTTCAATTTAACAAGAAATAGCTTTGATAACATGCATTAAAGTTGTATGTATTTCGCTACATTACAGTTTTGTAGAAAATGTACAAAAGCGTGACGTCATGTGACATTCAAACTCATTATATAGTCATAATATAATGATAACCCAAAAAAATACATGTTTAATATTTTTCAACAAAAAAATCGTCGTCATCCTTATTACTTCTCTCGACTGCAGATACGAGTGTCATCACTTCTAGGTTCGATAATGGCTCACTATTTAATAGTTCTGTAAGTAAATTAAAAATATATAGTACTCGTCTGAATTAACTTGACATCTGAATGCCTATTGTTATAGGTATATCAAAATCTAATCATTAATCATAAATAAATTTTGCCCATATTTGGTTCTTCTATTTAACAGAACAACAGCGATTAACCGTTTCAAATTTACTGTATAAATAATATCGAAATTGTGCTTAAATGTAATATCCTCGTATTTATATCGTGACATTTTTACAACTTCGAACCCCGTTTAAACGCCTTTAAAAACATTCTGTCGTTTATTTACGGAGGACTTCAAAATCAATATCCTACGGAGGGAGATGTTTCGTTTGCCTGTTATTTCGCTCGATTGCTTGTTTTTCATAGACATGTGATCTAATAGCTATCTGATCAAATAACTAATTTGAAACAGATTGAATGTACACGTTTTGAAACAGTTAATTACGTATTTAGTTAGTCGCAAAATGTACAATAATGAGAAACGATATTTTATAATTAAAATAATTGAGTTTATAATGTTGATACTGTAGTTAAATACGGGATTGGGAAACCGACCGTATGTGTTTTCGCTTTCAAACATAATGCCAGAACAATGTTGGTACGTAAATGAACATAGCCACTGAATTTAATGTTGTGTTACAATGAACACAATCACAATGAACGCCATTGTGTTTATTAATGGATTAAATTAACTTGTTACGACCTATTTATATACAGATGTTTGTTAAAAGAACAAGACCAAACAGGACAATCTTTCATACAGAAAGCCCGTTTCGCAAGATTTATTATACTATCAATAGTTTATGTATGCGATTCAGCTCGCTCTCGGCAGTTTATTTATTACTAAGAGATTACGATATTAGTTTTTGTTCTCAATGAATATTCTCAATATCATTTATATTAATATATTTAATACGTGGGTAACATTTGTAACTCTCATGTGTATATAGAGTGTACTAAGAATCACGGATGTATGGTAATCGAATATCTATTTTAATATAATAATGATAGGTGACATTAGATATCTGACTATTTGTTACGAGGGTTCATATATTTCGTATACAAAAAATTATAAAATAAATTTCTTTTCTTCTTCTCCTGTATTTAATTCTGATAGATGCATGGCCATCTTTATTGTCGGTCTATATCTCACAATACAGTTGAGTATCGTCAATACAAACAATATGATTCATTGAAGCTTGCAATAACATGTCCCCCTATTGATACACTCGAGGGATCATCGTCAAACTTGCACCGTTTATAAATTTGTCTACAACCGAGTGTACATGTTTCCCAGGAGACCTTACCTGCGCCCTACCGAGCGTGCCAGTGGCGCGTCACCCCGACAAGGTTATATCGGCACGATGGCATCCAGACGACTTCTCATTCCTTTCCACGTCGGCGGATAAGACCGCTGTTCTGTGGACGATACCTCCAGTATAGATACACCATTAAAGTCGACGAACACTACAACACTGCAATCGTGACGATTGGTGAGAAATATTCGATTAGTTGAATCATAGCATTGAACACGTGCGAAATATATTATCACTATTTCTCATTATGCAATATTACGTTCGCTCGAGCATTTTCGTTTCCAATGAAAGCTTACGATCTGAAAGTTCGGCCTAATATTGCTAGTCAAAACGCAGTATTTGCGAGGCGTTCTAGTGCTTTATAGGATTTTTATAAGCATAAAGTGGATCAAAAGAAAGGAGATGTCCAAAGAGTTTGTAATTTTTGTATATTTTTGTACTTACACCGATCAAATGAATTTTAAATTGCACTTTGCATTGTTTTTAACTAAAGAAATTGTTGTGAACACTTTAAAGAAAATATTATATATTACTGGAAAATTTAAATAAGTATTTAGGCTATTACGAAGTTCTACTGAACGATTTCATGATGGAAACTGGAAAATCATAAAAATCTTTATTTTTTTCTTTAATACAACGAAACCATTTGGAAATTTAATTAAAAACTGCTCTGGAAGGAACCGCTCTGGCGTTTAGTCGGTGACACATAAAGCAGAATATTAAATGTAAGCTGGTACGATTAACAAAATGGAAATGAGCGAAATATCAATTAACGACAGTAATAATACCTACGTTGTATTTCATTTATTGCATACATAATTAATTTATATAATCTTGAACACAAATTAAAGCTTTAAAATTGTTATAATCATTAATTTTTTATATAACAAACACGCAAACTATACATATATACACGTATGTACATTTGTGTACATACCCGCGACACTGTCGATCATAAACTTAATTTGGAATCTCAGTAATAGATTAGTTTTAATACATAATTTTGTGCTAGCATGAATTGGATTAATATTTTGTTAAAAATATCCAAAACAAATATTTAACTGTACTTTAAGTAATAATCCGATTTACAAAACAATAATATGTTGTGTAATTGTTATTAAAAATTATTATACTTCATTAAAATATATTCTAACGATAAAGCGATTTCAAATAATGTGATAAATCGCAATCTTGCTTTGATTTATAGGTGCTAATACGGAACAGATGAATAATTGGATAAACAAGCATTTCCTAATATTTCCTTGTGCTCGCCTAGGTAATCAAACATAATTTCAAACCGCAATTTTTTGGAAGAGTAGTTTTACATAAAAGAGGACGTTGAAATGAATAATGTACTGTTTTATTCAACAAAATATTTTATGTATTATTTTTATTGTTGTTAGTGTTGAATTGTAACCCCGCTGGTGCACAATTGCACATTCGTCATGCTCTCTCTTTCTCTCTAACCCCCAATATAACTCTCACAACTTGGGGTTCGCTGACTATAGGTTTGGAAGCGTGGCATAGGCGTTTGTCATTAATATGCATTATGAACAAGTGCCTATGATTTGTCACGTCATTCATTTTTCTGTGTGAATATCGACTAGCTTTAAAATAATCCATGGGTGCTTTACACATATTTAGGTCGTCATTGTTTGACAGTAAAATCATATATATACATTTAAGAAATACAACGAAATAGACTATATAAATTTTAACGAAAATAGCTACTCGGGTAACGGTCGGCACCAAGCTACGCGTAAAGATTGATTGCCGACTTATGCTGGTCGGGTTTTGTGGATCGACCAGATTGGTACTGGTTTATGTTACGTCATTTACTGAGTGGGAGCATTAATAAAACCAGAAAAAGCGACCGGAAAACAGAGATGTACCAAGGCCTGCCTACCTGTTAATTGAACGCAAAGTAATGGATGTCCACGTTTCTGATGAAAATCAAGTATAAAATAGATATATGCCTTATTCACTGCTCCCGAAACGAAAATGCCGACCCGAATATATGTGTAGGGCGCCCATTACAGGAGCAATTTTCAAGAACAAACATAATTATGCCTGTGATAAGTCAACGTATATGGAATATATAATTTTATTTTTTCGTTATGTTAGCGACGAACATAGGGGTATTAAGAGCTAATATGACGTTACCTTTTAAGAATGCTTTGTTAGAAATAATTACGCAGTCGCTGCCACTAATGCCGCCTTATTCGTCTGTAACTTTGAATTACGGTCGCAACTATAATTTAAATATCTGCCTGCTGAGAAAATACAACTTAATAATATTGTTTTCAGTATAATTTAATTGGAATAACATTGAAATGTAAACTTCATTAGTTTCCTTCAGTTGGGAAGGTATATTGTAAAATACTAACTTCATATTTAGATATCATAAAATAAATATTTATATTACTTTTATTAGTGTACTCGGCAACATTGGCAATCAATATGCGATATTTACACAAGCATTGCAAATCAACTTTTGATGTTTGATATAGGTAGGTATGTTTTTATACTCCGCGGCCAAAACGGTCGACAGCCGTCGGTTTACAGAGGCATTACTTAACACACCATTTATTCAGGATACAGAGCGTGCTCTAATCGACATTCAATATATTGTGAATTGTTCCATCGTATATCCTATTCCAACATGTATATTTGATGTTTTGCTTTTTAACAGCATATATGTATAGAATGTTTAATAGAGTTCGTCTCTTGAATTGGATACCATTCTTACTTTAAACAATGTCACTTTTGATTGACCAAACCAAATTATACAGTCTACAGCATGTCAGGACTCTACAAAAGTCTAGTGAAATTCGTAATTGATGCCAGAATGACTTTTTATACTAACCTTGATGTTTTGTTGACTGTACAATGGAGTCTTGATAAATCACTGGCGATGATTAATATACTGCTCTATGAATTTATGTTTATAGTTACAGTTGCAGAATACAATAAATTGAATCGACATCGAAATGCCATTGTATGAAATACAGATTACTTGAAGCAGCATATGCCGTTGTCCTCTGTCGCGATGTGTGAAAACATACCGGAAAGTGTCGATATGTATTCGGAATATTCGGAGTGCAGGCAATTTCTATGGCTCATTTTCATTGGTTAGTCAATGGTTTATAGATCACAAAAATCAGCCTCCATAAATTGCCGGCACTCCGCATGCGGGTCCCAATGACCATCTAAATGAACCATGAAATATAAATATGTAAATGGATTACCGATAGCAAATGAAATTCATAAAATCGTGACTTTTGACATTATCGTAACTCACAGCGAGTTATTAAATGGTTCACCTGATAAATCTTTGAGACGTTTAATCTCTATTTTGTAATCTATTGAGTGATTTGAAATCTAATAAAGGCGCATTCGTAATGACAGCGGGTAGGGGCGCGGGAATTTATCGGGGCCACTGAAACGTAAACATTTGATTTTGTTATGTTTATGTTATAGTATTCAGCTGTAGTTCTTTACGGATACACCTTTATAGTATTATTGATAAACAAGATTTAGCGCCGAATTAAAAAGCAATAAATTAGTGATGTTATTAGTATATTTATTTAAAATAAAATTATTAAACATATTAAGCAAACTCTTCTTTAAGATTAAAAATAGGTACTCCCGTATTAACTTTTTACTTTGATTAGTCTCTGTTTAAATATATGAATTTTGATTAATGAAAAGTGAAATGTTATCATAAATTTACTCCGACGCTAAACCTTATATATTATTAACATGTAGTTTCGGTGTATATCTGACGACCGAAAACCATTTGTGTATCATCGTTTGCGTGACGTCAACACAGAAATGTCAAACAAAACATTAAAGCCAAATTACTCAAACGACCATTAAGGTTTAATCGTCACTTTGAGCTCTAATGTAAGTTCGAAGTTTGAAAATGTGTATTATTAATGTCGCTTTAAACTAATGTCAATTTTAATGGTCGTTTGTGCAACGGGCAGTCAATATTGCACACTCAAATGTTACGGTTAGTGCGTTGAACGTACTAACGCATACTTCCATTTTTTTTTGGTTAGATTTGAATCGATCCTTATACAATGGTACCTACTTTAAAGTAAAGGACCGTGCACAAATGAAGTATAAGAATGTATAAATTTATTTAATAGCTGTTAAACGTGACTTTTTTGTCAAACAAGTGCTTACATTAAGTAGTGTTTGATGTAATTATAGACTAGTAAAAGTAATTACTTATTTTTTTTAATATAATAATACGTTTGTGCTTTATCTGTGCACATCGTCATGGTTATACGTAATGTTTTAAAGTTATGATATATTTTATGTATTAATTGTGTAATAATAAATTTAATATTTTATGCTTAAAGTTATTGTAATAATATTTCTCTTATTCGTTAAAACGTAATCCACGAAATTTTTAATAATATAACAATATCTTTGTTAAACCCAATCCATACTGTGTACCCATTTTGATTTAATAATATAATCACATTATTTACAATAGTTTCTTTTATTTGTATGAACCATTTTAAGCTTTTTAAATTTTTTCATTAATAAGTTATACAGGGTTAAGGTACTCGCCCTCCGCCAGAGGTTTCGCCCGCGTGGTCTAGTTTTCATACTTCTAAGTTCGGAAGTGAGAAAATTCTACATAAACATCATCTCCTCTTAGGGGTTGAATTTCTAAAAATTCTTAGTGCTCACTTACATCCTGAAAGAAACTTCAAATTTCGTACAGGGGTGACAAATTTTGAGTTTCTAGGTAGTTGCGGTAGTCGTTGATATATAAGTTAGGTTTGCCTTTTATATTATAGATTTCACAACAAAAGTGAATATCAGCTTTCAACTTCAAAGTATTTAATATTAACGTTATGAAATATGTTACATAACATACGCGACGACCTAATGGTCATTTTGAAATGACAAGTTCGTTGCTGGGTTGGAGCCGTTTACGTATGCACGTATATATGTACTTTGATTAGCGAAACAAACGTTTGATGTACGAGTTTAAAGACTTGTCCAAAAGGGGCGAATTTGCCGCGTTTTCAGACGCGATTTCAAGTGCATTGCTGCAAATGTTTTATTTATTTGTAACACTGTTGCTTACCAAGTTGCGAGTTTTGT